CGTTCAGTTCTGTAATTAATTTTGATTTAATTGTGATGCAAGTATGGAGGTTTAAGTGGATTTTTAAAATCTTTAGTTTTTTCCTTCATCTTTTATTTTAAGTTGCGGGGTACATGTGCAGGAGATGCAGGTTTGTTGCATAGGTAAACATGTGCCATGTGGTTTGCTGCACAGATCATCTCATCACCTAGTTATTATGCACAACATCTATTAGCTACTCTTCCTGATGCTCGCCCTCCCCCCAACCCAACCCCTCACTTCTGATGGGCCCTAGTGTGTGTTGTTTCCCCCATGTGTCTATGTGTTCTCGTCATTCTGCTACAACTTATAAGTAAGAACATGTGGCATTTGGTTTTCTGTTCCTACGTTCGTTTGCTGAGAATAATGGTTTCTAACTTCAACCATGTCCCTGCAAAAGACATTGTCTCATTCCTTTTCATGGCTGCATAGTATTCCATGGTCTATATGTACCATATTTTCTTTATTCAGTCTATCACTGATGGGCAATGAAAGCTATAAACCCCATATATCTGAGAAGCATAGTGTATACTAACGACAACAAATATGAAGAAAACTACACCAAGGAACACCATACTCAAATTGATCAAAACCAGTGATAAACAGAAAAATTCTAGGAGGAATAAAAGGAGAAAAAGCACATTACATACAGAGGACTAAATGTAAGGATGGCATTTGATTTCTTATCAGAACCACTACAAACTAGAGGTTTGCGGTAGTTTTAAACACTGAAAAAAAAACACGAGCAATCAAAACTGACATCTGAATAGACTTCTAAAACTAAAGAGATTGAATTAGCATTCAAAAAAAATACATGCCAAAAAAAGCCTGGGCCCAGACGGGTTCACAGCTAAATCCTACCAAACATCTAAAGGAGAGTTGATATCAATTTTTCACAAACTATTCCAAAAATAGAAGAGAGAACACTTCCCAGCTTATTCTATGAGGCCAGTATTACTCCAAGAGATCACAAGAAAACTACAAATGAGTATCGTCTTTAAATACAGACACAAATCCTCAACAAAATATAGCAAACTGAATCCAGTAACATCAGCATAAATTATACACGATGGCCAAGTGGGATTTATCCCAGGGATAGAAGATAAGTTTAACATCTGAAAACCAATTAATGTAGTATCAGTAGAAAATAAACCAAAACTAATCTGATCATCTCAATAGACGTGGGAAAGGCATATGACAAAATTCAATATTCTTTCAACAAACAAGGAATAGAAGGGAACTTCCTCAACCTGATAGAGGACATCTGTCAGAAAGCTTCAGTTAACATCATGTTTAGTGGGACAGACCGAATGCTTTCACCTTTAGATTAGGAATAATACAAAGATGTCCACTCTCACCACTTCCATTCAATGTTGTACTGAAGATTGTAGCCAGGACAATTAGGTAAGAGAATGAAACAAAAGGTATCCAGATAGGAACAGAAGAATTTAGACCACCTTTATTTGCCGATGATATGTTCTTCATGTAGAAAACCTCAAGGAATGTACTAAAATACTACCAGAATTAATAAGTTCATCAGGGTTACAGGACATAAGATCAGCACTTAACAATAAATTGTATTTCAGATTTTCAAATTAGGGATACCAAATGTCTAATCTCTGGACAGTGAAATGATGAGTATTTCTTCCTCTGTGATCTCCTGTATTTTCTATATGGTAAATATGTGCCAGTTTCATAATCAGAAATGAAATTACAAAGATCATTTAAAAGCAGCAAAAGAAATTGGTATGAAGGAGATAATTTTAAGGTTGCTGAAAAAAAATCATTCTAATGTAACCCAGTTAGCTAATGTAGTTTCTTTGTTTTTAAGATACATTGCTTAGACAGCATATAATGAGAATAAAACAAATGTATTTTAATCTATTTTTAAAACTTAGTAATTTTATAGGAGTTGATTTTCTTAGTCACCATTGCTTTCATAAATAACATATGTTCTTCCAGGGGGAGCACGGTAATATTTCAATGCAAGCAAAATGTTGTTTACAATGCTGTTCATTGATTCATCCTGTCGGGTTGCAAAAGGCTACCAGAAAGTTTGTGAAAGATGTTTGGTGGGTAGCAGGAAGTTGTGAGGTTTAACACATACATTTGGCTAAATAAAATTCTGATGGGTGCACATAGTAGCCAGTACTCCAGTTCATGCATGTGCAATCTGGATTACTGTAGCCAAGTCATCATTAGGTTGGTAATGATTTAATAAACCAAATAGGTGATCGGGCCAGTGGCTCACACCTGTAACCCCAGCACTTTGGGAAGCCGAGGCGGGTAGATCACTTGAGGACAGGAGTTCGAGACCAGCCTGGCCAAAAAGGTGAAATGCAGTCTCTATTAAAAATACACAAATTAACTGGGTAGGGTGACACATACCTGTAATTCCCACTACTCGGGAGGCTGAGGCACGAGAATCACTTGAGCCCAGGAGGCAGAGGTTGCAATGAGCTGAGATTGTGCCATCGTACTCCAGCCTGGACAACAGAGCAAGATTGTGTCTCAAAATAACAATAATAATAATCCAAATCATTATTTACATTAGGTGATACAAATGAAGAACAATGATCTTCATTTCTCTACTTGTATTTTTGGTAGCACTGTTATTGTTTTTAGACCAATATACATTTTTGTAAATTAAAAAAATAATTGTTTTAGAGTCGGTGTCTCACTCTGTCATCCAGCCTGGAATGCAGAAGTGTGATCATGGCTGACTGCAGCCTCAAACTCCTGGGCTGAAGTGATCCTGTCACCTTTGCCTCCTGAGTATGTGGGACTACCAGGTATATGCCACAAAATCTGGCCAACTTACGCTTATTTTTAAACATTTTTTCGTAAGAGAAGACATAATGACCTTTAGTGTAATAGTATATTCTAAACAATTTATGATTAGGATTCTTCGTCCCCAAACACATGTTATTGCTTCCAGTATAATTCTTCAGTCTGCAGAAGAGTGAGGACATAAGGTATCACTCTCTTCTGCCAATAATAACATTCTTGAGTTCATGTAGTACTTTACAGTGTACTGTGTGGATCTCAGGATTCTTTCAATACTCCTTGCAGGATGGCGGAGCCGGCATTATGAATTTGGTCTTGTACATAAGGAAACTGGAACTTAGAGATTTTCAGTTAATTTGCCTGAAGTTGAAGATGTATAAGAGAAGGAAATGTGAACTAAGATGATATTCAGAAAGGACAAGGTGGTTGGAACCAGACAAGCATAGATAAGAGTCATGATTTTGTCATTTGAGAAAGTCACTCAATCTCACTGATAATCAGTTTTCACATATGTAAAAAAAGGTATTAAGTCCAACTTTGCTGAAATATTATAAGACTTAAATAGGAATCATATATGTTAATCATCTAGAATTTAGGATGTTTCTTTAACAGCCATCTCCATTCATTTCTCTTAAATATTTTCACATTGAGGAGACAGTTGTAGCTGAATATTTTAAGCATGGAAACAAGCATGACTGGGGGATGCAATTATAGACAATTTTCACTGTGATTCCCTGGGTCACCTTGAATTTCTTCTGTGGGATTAATTCTTCCCTTGCTCTAGATGAAAGGGCAACTCCTACAACTTATCACTTCCAGTTAATGAAAGGTTCTTCAAAAAAGGAATTCATATGTGAGACCCAGGGTGGTCATCAAAACTTCAACCTCAATTTCAAGCTATAACTTCTTCTCCCTGCACGTAGGCCAGCTGCAGACCAAAAGCCTGCAGCGGAGAAAGTGGATGTGTCGGCCTTTTTCTTTTTTCTCCTTCCAGGATTGTTCCTTCTCTGGCTCTCTAACCACACCAGAGTCACAACAGGGTAGAGAGGAGAGGAAGCGGGCAGTCAGCAGGTTCCTACTTGACTCATACAGTTGTGAGCAGCACTACGTTCTCTGCCCTGAGAGCTTTTAAAACCCTCTCTTTCTCTTATGGCTCTTTTTGGGGAGTTATATGGAGACTCCCTACCCCACCCTATTACTATGGATGTCTCATGTAGTTTCTTAGTGGGGATCAGGTTCTTTCCTCCCTGGCTGGTCACTTATGGCTCCTTTTTCAGGTCCTAGACATCTAATGGTGCCTCAACATTTTTTCCCCTGCTGAAATCTGTATTTCTTCCAGAAATCCCTTTCAGAAAAAAATCTAAGAAAATCCCACCCTGACTGTCTTGCACAGCCAATATCTGGTACAGGAGAAAAATTCATATATTCTTCCTTTCATCAAACTGAGAGAGAAACTTGCCCAAGGCAGCAGTTTCTCTTTCACTTTATTGTAAGAACTGTTAGCTTAGCTTTCTTAATTATATTCGCTGTGTCCTCAAAACTCATGACACTTGCATCAAACTTTCTGTTTGTCATGAAGAGGGGATAAGAAATACAGTGTATACATGCAATAGAATATGATTCTACTTTAAAAAAGAAAGGAATTCTGACATGTTACAATATGAATGAAACTTGAGGACATTTTGCTAAATGAAATATGCCCATCACAAATGGACCAATACTATATAATTTACTTAGAATAGAGAAATTCATAAATAGAGTAGAATGGTGGATGCCAGGGGCTTCCAGGAGGGAGGAATAAGGAGTTAGTGTTAATGGGTACAAAGTTTCCAATTTGTAAGATGAAGAGTTTTAGAGTTTGGTTGCACTAGTGTGAATGTACTTAATGCCACTGAACTGTACGCTTAAAAATGGTTAAGATGGTAAATGTTATGTTATGTGCATTTTACCACAATTAAGAAATAAGGCCAGGCATGGTGGCTCATACCTGTAATCCATGCAGTTTGGGAAGCCAAGGTGGGAGGATTCCTTGAACCCAGGAGTTAGAGATCAGACGGGGCAAAATAGTGAGACCCAGTGTTTACCAAAAAAAATTAAAACTTAGCTGAGCATCGTGGTGCACGTCTGTAGTCCTGGCTACACGGGAGGCTGAGGCAGGAGGATCACTTGAGCCCAGGAGTTTGAGGCTGCAGTGAGCCACGATTATGCCATTGCACTTCAACCTGGGCAACCCTGTCTCAATAAAATAAAGGAAGAAAAGAAAAGAAAGCTAACTTTAACCATCTCATGCCATTTTAGCACCAGAAAGTTACATTATACACTTCAGTCTTAAATAGATGACTGAGTCATGCATAAATCATTCACAGGAATTACAAAAGTCCTGACTCAATATCAACCTTTTATTTTATTATTGGTGGAGGGATGCTGATGTAAGCGTTTTTGTAATATATAATATAATTTTAAAAGCTAAATGTATTACATTTCTTTTGTTTTTTTTTAATAATATTGTAATGCACAGTGAGTGAATATGGACAGATAATATTTTTAAAACAAAAAAAGTGTTACACTCAGGTTTTAAATCATATTTTAGCTCTGTATTGTTTGTTGCTGTATTTTAAGGCTCTGTAACTGTAGCGATGCGTAAAAAAGTAAAGATCCACTTAGTTTTTTTCCCTCTTAAGCCCTCCTGGAGACCTGCATTCAGCTTTCAGCTTTTATAATCTAGCCCAGAGCCATTCTTCAACTTTAAGTTACAGCACCCTCTGCTGAACTGTTAGCAACATTACATTGTGTCCGTTTTTCATTAGTGGGTGCCTTTCTTTCAGAAGTAAAATATAATTTTCAAAATAATATTTTGAAAATGCACTACAGAGATGAACTCTCTGCAAATTCAATTGCTCTCAAACTATTTGAAACTTATTACAATTATACATTTACAGCCACATTACTGCAAAGAAACAAGTAGTCATGATTTGAAGATACAATCAGACTTTAGTGTAAAGGACATTCCGTTTTTGAGTATATTTGGCAAAATGCATGAAAAAAATAGCAAAAAGTTCTACTTTAAAAATGAGTAATAGATACTTTAAAATAAGAAATGTGCATTTAAAATTTTTCTCTGCAGCATGTGTTAGCTGTTAAAATGAATGTTAGGGGAGCAATTTTTATAGATTCTTAGGTTAATTGTTATTTATACGACCCAAATTTCTTCCAGCTACAAAACCCTTTAAGTGTGGTAAACTTATTTCCTGTATCCCCTGACTAGATTATACGCTGTAGGAAGACTGAGAATTTTGTTGGTTTTCTTTACTGCTGCATCCCCTATATGAAGATCTCTCTATGGCACATAGTAGACACTCAATAAATATTTAATAGTTGAATGAACAATGTGGGAAGAAATGTCTACTCACACCTGCTTTGCACTTTGAAAAGCACAAAAGAGTTTATTATGGAACCACTTGAGATTAGTCCTTTTATTTCCATCTTACTTAGAGCCCTTTCTTCTTAGAACTTTGATCACCATTGTTACAATATGGTACCTAACTCTTCAGTGTTTGGATCTCTTCTTGTAAAACTTTATACATCTAAGATGATTGGGGGGAAGTAGTTTATATAAGAGGATTTATGTAACTGAACTTCTCTTTAAATAATCCTATGTAAACTTTTAATTAATGTAGTAGCAATTCCCTGTCTCCTCATGCGAAGAACATAGATAATAATTAGCCTTTTTTGGAGTTATGTTTTCTTTCTGTTTTAATATTTACGATTGCCTTGTGTTGTAATGAAATTCTAGCTTGGATGTTAGCTCTTCCTCCACCCACTAGTCTCTTCTGTCATTATGCCTGGCTCAGACATTCCTGACCTCTTCCCAGCTACCCTATAGGCTTTCCTGCTATGAACCTGCTCTTCTGCTGGAAAGCAATTAAGCAAATATGACAAGAGCCAGATATTAAATAAAATTCAATATGTCTCCGAATAAGGACCAAAAATCAGGGTTTTAGTGCACAGCCTCTGTGTGGAGTTGAGAATTCCATCTTCATATGAATGAGGTGTTATCTCCACGTATCACCTAACAAATAGAACACATTTTGCTCCTGGCACATGATGTCCTCAAATGAAACCTGGGAAAGTTTGGAGTCTTTATGAACTTTTTTCATAGAATGTATTCTCAAAGTACGTAAGAAACAACATCAATTATGCTCAGTGCCCATTACATACATTGCATCTTGCCAGTGCTTATTTGAAATGTCTCCTACACAAATAGGAAGAAATGTGGGTATTAGGGGAATTTGGTTTATTCTTCTTTCACCCCTTCTTTTACACATTTGGCCCCAAAATAAGTAGAAGGAAGGTATTCTAGAGGGAATTTTTTGAACCAATGCCAGTGTAATCTTACCTTGTGATTCTCTCAGGTTAAGGATGGATCATACGCTACGCACCTAGTATGTAATTCCCTTTTTCCTTAGCGACCTTTGTGGGTATGGAATAATCACTGCTTCCACTCACCTTTGCAGCCATCTTCATGCCAGCTTTCTAAGCCCTTCTCCATGATGCTAGCAGCATCAGAGAGGGCATCACAAGTGGAGAGACTACAGGAAGGTAAATTATCTGCTGTAACTTCATTCATGGCCATGAAACTAGGCAACAACAGCGGGTATTCCATCAGTCTAGCATCACTTTGACCAGTTTTGCTATACTGCACTGCTGATCGAATACAGTATTATAGGTTGGTTTTGTTTAGATCACACAGAGGCAGTTTGCAGGGGAAAATATATCACACGCAAACCTGAGGAGTGGTACAATCTGAGGAAGTTAGGGAGGGCTTTTTAAAGGGCATTAGAAGTTTGTACGTTAAAAAAAAATTAATGTACAAAAAAGTTGCAAGCACACTTTAAGGAATGCCTATATACGTTCACCCAGAGATTCCATCCACGTTTCACACCAAATGTCCCAACAACATCCTTTGGACCCACATATTACACTTACTTGTCAGATTTCTTTAGTTTCCTCAACTCAGAACAACAGTCATTCCTGATCTTTGTGGACTTCAATATCTGAAGATTACAGGCTGGTTATTCTGTAGAATATCCTCAAGTTTGTTTTCTCTGATGTTTCCTCATGATTCGATTCAGGTTATGCATTTTGTTGGGACTATCACAGAAGTGATGTTCTCTCTATCACATGACCCAGGATCTTCTTTCCTGTTACTGGTGACGTTAAATTTGGTCATTGGAGTAAGCTAGTATTTACTAAGCTTCTTCACTATAAACTCTTTGTTCCATTTGTAATGTATAATATTTTATTGAGACACAGTTTGAAACAGGGTAAATATCACATTTCTTATCCAACTCTTACCCACTGAGTGTTAGCGTTTTTTGACTTTTTTTTTTTTGCCCGAGTTAATTACTTGTACCATGATAATCACCAGATGGTGATATCCCAATTCCATCATTCCACTAATATTTATTAGTTGGCATTCAACTTTAAAGAAATGTCTTTTATCCCCTTTGTATGACATCCATGTGGATTGATGGATTCCTGTTTCATCTGATGTGATATAATCTGCTAACACCGTTTATTCTGATGCCCAAACTGTCTTAGGGTTTTCCAGGGAGAGCCCCTTCAAGCTGACTCTGTGTCCTTTTGACACTACTCCATTCTTTGAGCACTTACTATCTGGTGAAACAGATGTTCTGGGCTTATATTTTACCTTTGTTATCCCTACCCTGGAATCAGCTATTTCTCCAAGGTCCCCTAGTTTCTTTCAGAGAGTGGTATTTAGAAAGAAAGATCTGGGTACTGGATGTGCTCATTGCTACTAGGCCCTGTCAGTGGACACAGGTAGAAAATATATGTATGTCGGTGTGTTCATACATACGTACACACACATTACACACATACACACACATATCCCTTTTTATTTCTGTATCTAAAAATATTCAAAACCATGAACTCGCCTGAACACTACTAATTATAATCCAACACTATAGGGTTCATTCTAGCTTAATTCTTTTCACATTTGTAACTCGCTTCTCTGACTTAGCTCTCAGTATCCTCAACATATTTATTTGCTCAATCCTCTTGTGCATAACCAATCCCTCAGTCTTATTAGGCTGTTGCCCTTCTCAGCGACCTTCCTTCCTAAGTTCTGGCTCTGGTTGGGCAGCTTTCATCATTCAAGCCTGCCTAATGAGTTTAATCTGATGAGGAAGGAAGGAAGGAGGAAAGAAGGAAGGAAGGAAGGAAGGAGAAAGGAAGGAAGAAGGAAGGAGAAAGAAAGGAAGGAAGGAGCAAGGAGAAAGGAAGGAAGGAAAAAGAGAGGAAGGAAGCAAGGAAGGAAGGAAGGAAGAAGTAAAGAAGAATGAAGAAGGAAGGAAGAAGGAAGAGGAGAGGAAGGACGGAAAGAAGGAAAGGAGGGAGGTGGGGCTTTATATATAAAAAATAAGTGTAAAATATCAATCAAGTTCCATGATTATTGATTCTTGGAACTACAAAGTATTTTTTTAAATTTTAGATAAATCAGTCTTTAGGACATAATTTAAATAAATTCTGCAAATCTAGAAACAGTCTTAATATAGTCTTTTTAAGCATTTCAAAATGCTGTGGTACGTTGTTTTTAAGGCAGTTTGAATTTAACACAACTATTTTGAAGTGAGAAGTATTTACATATTTTAGTGATGATGGCTATTTTCCGGTAAGTAAGAGCCATATTTCTATGGTTGAGAATTGTTTGCATTTACTTTGGAGGATGGAATGGGGTTAGTAGATAGGCACCGCAAGAGATGGAATGTGTTTTACCTGGAATTCCATCTCCTAAATGACGGAAAACCTGATGAAATTTCCAATTAGCTTAATGTGATGTAAGTGAGCCAAAACTTAAAATGATTGTTTCACTAAAGACTACTAGGACACCCAAATTCAAAATGTATTTGCACAATAAAATTATCCTCCCAGAGATCTTTTGCGGGGCAAGATGGCTGAATAGGAACAGCTCTGGTCTGTAGCTCCCAGCGAGACCAACACAGAAGGTGGGTGATTTCTGAATTACCAACTGAGGTACCCGGCTCATCTCACTGGGACTGGTGAGACAGTGGCTGCAGCACAGGGAGTGCTAGCAGAAGCAGGGTGGGGTGTCACCTCACCCGGGAAGTGCAAGGGGTGGGAGAACCTGGCTGAAATTCACAAAGGTTTGCAAGTCACCTGTTAGTGAGACAGAGTTTGCAGGGGTTTAAGTGTATTTGCAGGAGGGGAGCACAGATGTCTACACGTGTTAGAGTAGGGTGCGGATAGTGGTTATAGAAACATTAAAAGCAACCACAAAAGTTGAGCAAATCATATCCACAAGATGTTTCAGAGTGGATTGAAAGAAATGTGTACCATGTGGGAAAAAAGTGATTGCTAGGGGAGAGAAGGAATTCAACCCCCAAACATAAGTCCTTCTGTTGCATGTCAAGTTACTGTCACATTGCACCTTTCCGACATGGACTCTCCTTCCTCCCTCTCTCATTTACATGCACCCTTCTGAGGGCGCTGGGCTCTCCTGGATAATCTGCCTTTCTCAACATCCTTAACACCTCTCCAAAGTCTCTTCTGCCATGTAAAGTAACACATTCACAAGTCCCAGGGATTAGGATTGGACACCTTTAGGGGAGTTTATTCTGCCTACCACAGCCACTCACCTCAGTGAACACATTTCTGCAAGCCCCTCAGTCAGTGCTTGGCCCTCACTTCTGAAAGTAAGTCAATTGAAAGCAACTCTGCCCAATGAGCAGCTCTGAGTGCCAACAAATCAACACCAGCTCACTGATGTCTGTGCCCTTAGCCAGTCTCTGAATCCCACACTTTCCACAAATTCTAAGTCCAGTCTGCTCAGAAAGACTGAATGATCAGCAGAGCTCTCTCCATTTAAGAAGCAATAAATTCAGACTTCTGTTTATTAACACACAGGTTATGAGGTGGTCTCTTCATCTGACAAGTGCCTTAATGTTACATGTATAGAATTACATAGAAAGAAAACAGAAAGAAGAAGAGAATGCAAGGAAGGGGGAAACTATAAAGAAAGACCATGCAAGTTCCACTGCAAAGGGATCTGAATCAGAGAGAAGAGGAGAAACTCCGGGGGAGAAGAACCTGAGGATCCAGTGCCTGTGAGGCTCCCTCAGAGCTGGGAGCTGCTGACATCTGAATGTGGGGAGCAGGCTGAGGAGGAGCCAGAACTGAAGGTTTACAGCCTTCCAAAATGTACATGTTGAAGCCCTAACCTCAGTGGGACTTATATAGTGAAAAGGCCTTTAAGGAAGTGATTAAGAGAAGTGAGGTCATAAACATGGGGCCCTGATCTGATAGGATTAGTGTCCGTCTAAGAAGAAACTCAGGGAGCTTGTTCACCCCACTCCTCCTCCCACAAATCACACACAGCAAGTGAAGGCCGTGTGGGGGCACAGAGAGTCTGTGTGCATCTCCAAGGCGGGAAGAGAGCTCTCACTGGAATCCAATCTCGATCTTGAACGTTTAGAATCCAGACCTGTGAAAGAGTACATTTCTGCTTTTCGAACCACCCTGTTGATGGTATTTTGTGATGACGGCCTGAGCTCACTAATATAGAAGGTTTCTTAGACCCTGGCCTAGGCAGCTCCTCCCTGGGCCTTTGTGGGAGCTGCCCAAGTTTTCCTCAGTGCTCAGTTTCTGTAATCTGCATCCACACCTACTCTTACCCTGGTTAAAGCTGATCTTTGGCTTCAGAAAGAGAATTGGGCACAATGGTTTCATAGCTTAATTGTCCACAAGAAAGAATGACCTGGACCAAGGATCTTCTTTGATTTTCTTTGGGAAAAGTTTGACATCTGACCTTGGCCAACTGCACTCAGATTCTGCAGGGTGACCCTGTGACTTCACATGCCCTGCACTTCCTTTTCCTGAGAGCTTTCACTGCTCTGAAGTCTCCAGAACCACAAGGCAAGGGTTTGGCTGCAGGTGAAGGACCTGAACCAGCCCTGGAAGACCCAGTGGAAAAAGAAGAACCCCCAGGATGAGGAATGGGAGGAAGGGTGAGAGGCTCTTCTTATAGGAAGAGAAGACGCTGGAGGATCAGAGAACCGTGTGTGTGTGTGTGTGTGTGTGTGTGTGTGTGTGTGTCTGTGTGTGTCTGTGTCTGTGTGTGTGTGTGTCTGTGTCTGTGTCTGTGTGTGTGTCTGTGTGTGTGTGTGTGTGTGTGTGTGTCTGTGTCTGTGTGTGTGTGTGTGTGTGTGTGTCTGTGTCTGTGTGTGTGTGTGTGTGTCTGTGTGTATGTGTAGAGGATGAGGTTAGTGGAGTTCCGGAGAGACAGGGTTGCCCTTCTGGGGCTAAGAATATGGATTCCTTGGTATTCAGTCTCTGGTCCTCTCCCTTTCCTGGTCCTCCTCATCCTGCCTCCCCACTCCTCCCCTCCTCCTTATTCTGTCCTCATTCTGTCCTTCAGCCTTTTTGTCACCACTCCCCCTCCTCTTCCTGCTCCCCCTCCCCCATGCCCTGTCACCTCCTTTTCCTTTCACACACACAGGATACAGGTCAACACTGGAAAGGGTTGCCGCAGTCTGAGAAGCTGAAGGAATGCTTTATGCTAGCAGGAGAAGCACAATTGCATTTCTGTGTTGTCAGTACCTGTTTTTGAGGAGACAAAGCAAGATGGCTCCAGCTGTAGGGTGGAGCCTCCAAAGACAAACCCTGAGGCCAGGGCAGCACAGGAGTTAGGCCAAGCTTGGACATGGTGTGACCAATAGTAAGGAAGCACCAGTACATTGGTCCTTGGCTAACAACTGGACCCGTCTCCCAGGAACTTGAATATTCCAGGTGTCCTCCTCTTCTGCAAGGGACCTCCAAGGGGAAGGACCATGCTGCTTTCTTGTGTCCACTTGGGGGTTGGGGGGCAAGTGTACAAGGATCCCCATGGTCCTAGGAGCTGGGGGCAGCAGGGACGTCAGGCCAAGGCAGGTTCTAAGCAAACTACCCAGCTTCTCCATTTAGACCTACCTGAATGTTCAGAGTGGAAGGTTAATGCAGCCCCAGGCTCACCTACTCTGTCATGGCCTTTTCCTCCTTTCCATGTGGTCTTTGCTTCCTATGAGGGTTCTGCCACTGTAGTCAGCCTATTGGGAAGTAAAAGCAACACTTAAAATGATCAAAGAGACCAGCATTAGTATTGGTGCAATTCTATGGTCCTCAGTGGATTACCTAGGATGCAGCCAGCACCTGGGTCACCTGGCTAGGGCCTGTCCAAAGAAAAGCTACCCATATGCCCATTGAGACCCAGGTGAGAGTTCCAGGGACCTAGTCGCTCACCAAGAGATTGACCCTTACCATCCTCCTGAGTGTCAGGAGCCTCAGTGCTGAGAGTTCTTGGTCTACACCAGGGCACTGCTCACTCTCGGGGTCCAGGGCTTTCAGTGGAGTCTCCATGTCTCTAACATTGAATCCTCCTAGTTTGATGCACCAAAGGGCCCCTCCCACAAAGTAGGCAGACATGGAGAGTTACCAGATGCAAAAGGTAAATTATATGTTATGTGATTCATTATAAAAAGAGAACTAAAACCAAAAACAACATGATTCTCTCAATAGATGCAGAAAAGACTTTTGATAAAATTCAACATCATTTCATGTGAAAACTCCCAAAAAACTAGGCCCTAAAGGAAGATATCTCAAAATAATAAAAGCTATCTGTGACCAACCCACAGTCAACATCATGTTGAATGGGCAAAAGCTGGAAGCATTCAGCCTAAAAACTGGTAAAAGAATAAAGCAATAATTTACACTTCAACAACGCTTTTTAAAAATTGCTCTTCAAAGACATTGGTAAGAGAATGAAAGGACAAGCCACACTTAGGGAGAAAATACTTGGAAATCACATATCTGATAAAGGACCTCTGTGTACATACTAAGGGAACCCTCAAAGTTTATTAATAAAGAGCTAACAATCAAATTTTCAAATGCCATTCAAATTTTCAGAAGCCATCCAAACCCATTAACAGATGAATGAATAAAATAAATCGTGATATATCTATCACATGGAATATTACATTACTCAGCAGTATAGCAGAGTGATCTATTAATACACATGAAAACATGGCTACAAATCAAAATAATTATTCTGAGTGAAAAAGATATACAAAAATACCAAAATATATAAATATATAAACCAAAAATGTAAACATAGTGTATGATTCTATTTATAGAAAACCTGAGAAAATTTAAATTAATCTATTATGACAGAAAGTCAAGCAGTGTTTGTCTGAGGTTGGGGGAGAAACATGAGGGAGGAATTACTAGGACACAAGGACACTTTCGAAGTGGTAGCTATATCCACTACCTTTTTTTTTTTTTTTTTTTTTGAGACAGGGTCTGGTCCTGTCACCCAGACTGGAGTGCAGAGGCACAGTCTCGGCTAACTGCAACCTCTGTCTCCTGGGCTCAAACCATCCTCGTAACTCAGCCTCCCAAGTAGCTGAGACTACAGGCACTTGCTGCCACGCCTGGCTAATTTTTTGGTTTTTTAGAGATGGAGTTTCACCATGTTTCCTATGTTGGTCTTGAACTCCTGAGCTCAAGCAATCTGCCTGCCTTGACCTCTCAAAGTTCTAAGATCACAGGCACAAGCCACAGTGTCCAGCCTATATCCACTATCTGGATTACAGATGTATACATATATTCAAACTTTTAAATTTATACAGTTTAATTATGTTCACTCTTGCATGTAAGTTATATCTCAATATAGTTGTTAAAACAATTTAAAATATTAGAAAACTGTCATAGCTTGATTTAATAAATCTTTTTTATATTTGCAGAAAACCCAATGTAATTCTCTACATTATCAGGACAAAAGCAAAAGACTGTATGATTACCTTGACATACACAGAAAAAAAGCATTTGGTAAAACTGAAAACTTTATTTCATGATTATAAAAAATAAACCCCACAAAACTCTAAGCTTGAGAAGAACAGAAGGCAACACTTCCAACCCCACTAAGGGCAGATGTGGGAAACCCACAGGTAACATTATATTGAATGGTATAAGATCAAATGCTTTTCTATTAAATCACACAAAAAGGTAGAATATCTACTTTTACTTTTTCAATCCAGCATTAGATTAGCTATCTTAACCAATGCAATGAAGTAAGAAAAAGGAAATGAAGCATTGAAAAGATTGAAAAGGAAGAATAGAATTTGTCTTTATTAACAGATAATGATTGTGTATGTACACATTCCTAGAAATCTACAAAAATCTATAAAAATTAATAAATGAGTTTCCAATTTTGCAGAATATAAGTTCAATATAAATAGTCTGCTGTATTTTTGTATATTACCAATGAGCATTTGGAAAGTGAAATTTATACAATTTCATTTAAACTAACATCTAAATACATGATGTGCTTAGTAATAAATTGAACAAAATTGATGTAAGGCCAGTATGCTGAAAACTACAAAACATTGCTTTAAGAAATTATAAAAGAACTAAATTAGTGGGGAGATAAATGTTGTCACATTTATCAGAAGAGCTGTTGTAGTTAAAAAGTGAATTCTTCCCAAATTGATCTCCAGATCCAATGCAATTCTGGTAAAAACTCCAACAGGCATTTTGGTAGAAATTTACAATCTGATGCTACCATTTATATGGAAATGTCAATGATCAAGAATAATAAAAAACCAACATTATAAAAGAACAATGGTGAATGAACTCATTACCTATTTCCAGATTTACTGTACAGCTATGGAAATCAAAATCATGTGTATTGTTAAAAAAAAACAGAACATATATCAATGGAAGAGAAGAGAGAAGTCAGACATAGATACTTACCTATATGCTTGACTAATGATTCTTAGACATGAATATAGTTATATGTGTATATATAAGCACCTTTTTGATGATTATCTATCTTTATCTCCAAAATAGGGAACATTAAGAGAACTTAAAAAGAAGCCATAATATAGGAGATACTATATTTATCTCCAAAAAGGATTTTTTAAATAGTATATATATAATGCAGTCTGATATGATAAACAACACAATGAAACAAATTGGCAAAATACTTGAATAGCTACTTCAGAAGAGAAGGTACATGAATGGTCAATTAGAACAAGAAAAGATGCTCACCTCTTTAGTCTTCAGGGACAACAATCAATACAACGATGAGATACTATTACATATCCATGAGAACGCTAAAATTCAAAAGACTGAAAATGCCATATGTTGATGAGGATATAAAGCAATTGGAAGTCTTATACTTGTGTGAATGAAAAATGGTACAACTCCTTTAAAAATTTCGCTAACAGTTTCTTCTAAGTTTAAACAAATACAAATCAGATGGACAATCGTTCCATTCCTAGGAATTTACATACTATGTCTGCACAATGATTTGTATGTGGATGCTTATACTTTATTCATAATAGCCCAAACCTGGAATGACACAAATGTCCAGTAACAAGTGGATGTATAATCAAACATGGTGTAACCACACAAAGGAACACTACTCAGCAATTATGAGGTATTAACTGTTGATGAAAATACTCATATGGATGGATTTTAAAATTAATGTGATGCATGAAAGAAGGCAGACACAAAAGAACACAAGTATAATTTCATTTGCAGAAAATGGTTAAACAGGCAAACTGACCTAAAGTGACACTGGCTCCTTGGGGATGAGGTTTGAAAGAGTGATGAACTGTAAAGGGTTACAAGAAACTTTGAGCTTATGGAAATTCTCATACTTGATTATAGCAGTTGTTCCATTTGTGTATATATTGGTAAACATGCATTTAATTACGTTTTAAAGTGTTGCAGTCTATTGTACTTAATGTATACCTTTATAACATTGATGTGACCATCTTAATTTCTCCATACTAGCAATTAGAAAATGAAATTCAATAAAACATAATAAAGATTAATATCCAAAATCATTACATGCTTAAGAATACATATAATGAAGCACATACAAAGTGCCTGAAAGCTATTGGTGAGAGAAATTAAAGAAGACTATATATAGAAACATATATCATGTTCATGGATTGAATGACTCAATTTTGTGAGGATATCACATCAACATAATTCTGATTAAGAATTCTAGTAGGAGTTTTTAGAGAAATGTAGATGCCAATTTAAAAATGTATTTAAATGAAATAATCTAGGATAGGCAATTTGGTCTTGAAAAAGACAGAGGACTTACTCTGCTAGAATTCAAAACTCATTTTAGAGCCACAATAATTTAAAAGCTATGGTACAGGTGTAAGTATACATAAATATATCAAAGTAAAAGAGTACAGATTCAAACAATATGCCAGGTATGCACAGTTATTTAAATTTTTTTAAAACAAAGACATCAATGTCCTTCATTGGGGAAATGAGAGATTTTTCTATAGAAAGTTTCTGAGTGAAATAATATTTGTTGTTTTAAAAACTTAGTGGTAACAACCACTTTCTACCATACATTGAAATTAACTTAAGATGTGAAAGTTAGATTAGAAACCTTGTAAAGGAAAAAATACAAAATATTTTCACGAACTTGACAAAGGAAAATATTTCTTAGACCAGGTACTGTAGCACTGACCACAATAAGAAACCAATTACATTGTACTTCACCTTTAAAAAGCTTCTTCTGATTATAGGTTAGTGTTTAACAAGGCAAAAGCTATCTGGAGACCAAGAATAATTATTTGCAACATATATTCATGTTATAAATAATTATATAATACATATATATATATATGTCTATATTGGGTCCAATCCGCATGGTCCCCTCTGTCTGGTATGGACTGAGGAAGTCCACTCTAGCCTTAAAACAGCACGGGCTGCCAAGCATTCTCAGAGAGGCTCTCAACTTCAACACTTCACACATTCATATGTGAAAAAATGGACTCATTCAAAATATATAAATAACTCCAACAGATCGCAAAGAAAATGACAAACAACCCAGTACATCAATGAGTGGCAAAATTTGAAAAGGTGCTTTACATAAGAAGATATCTAAATGACCAATAGGCATGTGAGAAACAAAACAGATGATATCACTACACACCTGGTAGAAAGGCTAAAACTTAAAAGAGAGAAAATAATAAGTGTGTGGGAATGTAGAGCAACTGGAAACAGCCTACATTTTTCATAGAAATGCAAAATAATACAAACTTTATGCAAAAC